ACTAATAAAAAAAAACTATAAAAATATCATTCTGAAAAATATCGAAAAATCTTATAAAAATTCAGATTTAAATAAAATTTAATGGTGGACGTGAGACGTGCTATGGCCGAATTATTGGCGGCCGCGGGCGAGAAATTGACAAAATTGTTTATTTATTTTGATATTTACGGCGACAAAATTGAATGCCACAATTAAAAATGCAGTGATTTTTTCATTTAAATTACGCAGAGAAATAATTAAATTTTTCAGTCTCTCCCGAAGAATAAAATCCTAATTATTTTTGTTTTTCTTTGCTGAAATATTTTTAGAATTGTAAATATGGCAAAAATGAACAAATTCATACAAAATCAGTTGTATTGCTTTTATGCAACTTGCGTGCTTTTCGTTTGTATTATTATCGCAAAAAAAACGAGGGTCTTGAATAATCGTGGACCATCGCACATTTGGCGGTAATTCAAATTCGAATTTAACCAGTGAAAATGGATAACCAAAATTAACACAGGTGTGCTCGTTTATTGCGATTCTAACAATTTTAAAATGTAATAGCTGTCTCAAGAATATTCCTGTTTTCCTTCGAGACCAATTCCATGCAATGCTCCAGCTAAGAATTATATAAAGTTGAACAGTTAAGAGCTGAGTCTTGATGAGGCATCGGCGAGATTTCTCGAGTCGCAAAAAACGATTCAAACAAGTGCAAGTCATTTCTGGCCTTGAGAAATGCTTAGAGTTCAAAGCAGTATTGATACTCAAGTTGAGAAGGCGAATTATTTCAATACCAATTATGGTGGTGGGTGTTGTCCAGCTGGCGATGCTCAGTTCAAATATTATTGCCGTGGGTATTTTTTTCGGTGCTTCTATTGTTGTTGCGATGTCCTTTTCGCCGATTTGCCGCATCTCGAGCGTCGGCCTCTTCTCTCTCTCTCTCTCTCTCTCTCTCTTCCCAACCATGTGTGTTCGTTTGCAACTTCTGACTAATTACAAGACATCTGCTGGGAAAGGGACCGTTGTTTTTTTTGTCATATTCGCATACATTTCGCGTCGTTTCCACAAATTATCATCACATCGCAGCAGCATCAGCAGGTCAATTGAGATCCTGTGTGTGTGTGTGTGTACGACCTCGGCAGCGGCGATTTTTGTGGGAATGCGAATCAGTTGTTTTCCGCGCAAATATGAACTTTGCTGGAATGTTTCCGATGTTGTTCATTTTTTTTTTCACGTTAAATACCCCCCCCCCTTTCTTTTTTTATTTCAATTTTTGGTGGTTCCAACTCGATTTATTGCTTGAGTACTTTGAATTGATGATCAGGATTCTTGACATTCATGAGAGTACCTCTAATGTTCTAAATTGTTTGTCTCAAGATGGTTCATCAAAAATCTCTCAAATTATTCCTTGTTGCTTCCTTATTCAAACATTTTCTAGAATTTAATGAGATCTTAAAATTAGAAAAAGAGCCCATCAGTATTGAGTATTTGATAGATTTACGGGTTTGCGCCTTTAGAATGGTCTCGAAGCGACATTTTGATTTTATTTAAAAATTATTGCACTATTTGCAGATTTCAGGAGGGAAAACCGGTTTAAAATTTTTTCGAAATCTGGTTTTTTGGGGTTCATGGTTTTTTTTAATTCTCATAATATTTCCAAATTATTTTTTAATAACAAGAAGAATTCGAAATGAGAGGTAGATCATCTAATATACACTTATTATAGATATTTTAGTTTTCAAGAAAAAAATTTAAATTAAACGGGCTTCTATTTAAATGGTCCAAATCCAATTTCTGTCATTTGACAATTTGAAAAATCACCAAAGTACTCATAAAAATAATGCGCTTTCACATTATGATGGTTAGATAAAGCAAATCTCGCTCTTAAGTATTTTTTTCCATACGGGACCCAATTCAAATAATACAGTAATCTGCCCGTTTTTTAATAAGCAATAATATGTTAGAATAGTACTGATCATTGGCAATAAATATTTTCATCTGCGGACAATTGAATGAATTCGAGTGCGTCTACAAAATCTGCCGGCATTCTCAAGAACCTCTTGTAGACTTTTCGGTGGCATTAATCGAACAGAGAGAGAGAGAGAGAGAGAAACAAAAATTTTGGCGTTGGTGGTTTTCACTTTCGGCGATCTCATGTCAATTTCGTATCGCACCACACGTTTTTTTTTTCCATCGTCCGTCGTTGAAGCATCCGGAAGGAAGAAGTCGTCGTCGTCGCCGCCGAAAAACATTACGAGAAAAAAAAACGTGGAAAAGGAAAGACAAGAAATTCGACTTTCGGCCCTTCACCGCCCCCGCCGCGGTGGTGTCAGATCGTCGGGGGGAGTTTTTTTTTCTCAAACCGAAATGCGCATAGCTCAGGATCAAGATAGGCATCGGAATGGGAAACGGTTTGGTTGGACGGTGAGAAAAAGATGGCGAATGCCGATATACCTTCGACAAAAATGTCGCATTCAACACAAACGGTTTATGCGTTTTTCGGGTGTTCGGGATGCCGTCGAAAACCCCTCCGATTCATTCGATTCTCGACACTCAGATTGTTTTTTTGCAAGAAGTTTGATCAACTCCGTATAAATCATTCTCCAGTGAAGGTCTTTTAACAAAAACTATTGTCACTGTAACCGAGTGCGTTTGTAAGTAAACTTGTTTCATTGATACCATTATTTATGTGGCCAATTGGAAGAAGCGTTTAAAGGAGCATGACTCGATGAATCAACTTCTTCCTCCGAATCAGGGTCATCATAGATGTTGTCGTCGCGCTTAAATGCAAATCAGGAGAAATTGTCTGACCTCGCCAATATTTCTTGATTCCTTGACGACGTCGCTAACTATATGAGGTATAATTAGATGATTTCCATTAAAAGGCATCCTCCTCCCCGATTTTCCTTTCGTCTTACATATATCGAATTATGCCTTTTTTTCATTCGCCAACATTGTTCTTGAAACGGGGGGAAAATGTGTAAACATAATAAGCGTAAGCCCACCGTTCAATCATTCGCCCCCATTCAATTATATATATTTTTTTCTCGCGCTTCGTCTTCATTGTTCCGCTGTCCAGCGGGCAACCAGCAGCAGCAGCAGCAAAGGACACGAATCATTTTCATTTTTATGTTGTTTCATCGTTCGCCTCCTCCTTCCGACGACCACCCCACCCACCTTTTGATCATCATCATTATTATTATTGTCCGGCCCGCCTGCCTGCGCGCTCGTCGGAAGAAGGCGGTGTTCATTTCGAGGCTTGTCTGACATCGTTCGTTGATGATTATTCAACACGTTTCAACATCGATTTGTCGAGTAATTTGTTATGCAAATGTTCGTATTGTTTGCTCTCGATTCAATCGGCTCTCGGCTTCGTTTGTGTGTCTTTTCGAATTGCTTTTCGGTGCAGCTCTTTTCAAGAATCGGCTTGCTCTCCCCCCCTTCCTCCAAATGCATTCCAATTCCCTTCTCAATGTGCGTTTATCGCATAATTTGCATAATCACTTTCGGTTTTTTCAAACAACCGTACATACGTTTTTCTGCGCTCATTTTTTTTGTCGTGTTTCGACCTTGACAAAATTAGGCCTTTTTTCGGTTTTCTGAATGAAGTACTTGATTTTTTCATTTTTTTTTATTTCTCTGAAAAAAAAAACATTTTACTGTCAATTTTAAAACAATTTTTTTTTGGTTATTGGATAAGTTATTTCTTTTTTTTTTTGCGAGGCGACGCATTCTGTAACAATGAGTAGCATTTTATATCTCGTTTTTTTTTTCAGTTTTTTTTTCGTTTTCGCCAATTCTCAAAGCTCTCGATTTTTTGGATGTCGATTTACGGGAAAACGCCCATAAATTTTTGCCATGTACAGATTCTCTTGTTCATTTTTTTTCCTGGTTTTTAGTAGCTTAAATGTCACCCGATAAATCAATGATTGGCATGAGTACATATTTCGAGTATTACAATTTGTTTGGTCTTTTTTTGTATATATATAGATATATATTCTATGGTGTCATATATGTATAAGACGAACTAATTTTCTCTTATGTCTGATCAACAATTTGTCATTTTTTTTCAATATTACACCTAATTTAAACGAATTGTTCTATTTCTCAACTATTTTCCCAAAAATTCGCATTTTTAAGATAATTCCAAAATTCATTATATTCTCTAAATATTTTTCTTAACCAACATTTTAATTTTGTGATCATCCAGAAACTTACTATTATTTTTTGGTTAATGCAAATATTAAAGGCGCATACCAAAATCGCCTGCCATAGTTTTGTTTTGTTTTTTTTTTGCCATTCAGTCAATCAGCGCGACGTCGATAATATGTAAATTGGATTGAAATTTTGTTTCAAACGCTTTTCCGAATTTTCCGCTCGACATTCCACCGACCTCATCCTATTCCGAATAAGCCATTTCTTCGGCATGCCGTCGTCGAACTGTACATATTACCTGTCGAATCCGAGTGAAAGTGTGAAACAAGCAGGAAACTGCCATCGAAAAAAAAATTGAGGTATTTGCAGACGGCAGAGATGTGTGTAAGAATTATGTGTATTCTTAATAACATTCCGCACTTGCCCACTTTTTCCTCATTTTCTTGAAGTTTCTCCAATGTCACACCTATTTTATTGGCAAAAATGCCAACTTCTATATTATATAAGAGATGGAGAGAGATAATATCTGCATTCTGAAATTCCACACTGACTTCTATTTTTGGAAATCGATTTCCAAATTTCTACTAAATCGAATTCTCTAATCAATCCCACAATCATTCTTGTCGAGTAAAAAAATGTCAATTCTAATTTTAAATTATCCTAATTTGTTAGTGAATTTGAGTTGTCGCGAGCCTTCGAAACCCAAAATTCTTAAAATTTGTTTCTAACATTTTCGGACCTTCGCTGACCAAATCAATCGATATTTGCGTAAATTGAAGCGATTTGTTTAAACAGATGGTCGACCCCTCACGCCGCCCTCTTCGTCATGCGTAATTCAATACACTTGTATACATTTTCAGCCTATGCTAGATGATCGATGGCCGAATTCAGTGAAGAGCAGTCGTAATCATCATCATCACGAGAGCCCGTCGTATAGAAGCCATTCGATCGACACTGCCGCTGATAGGTACGCCCATTCTCAGACCCCCCCCCCCTTATTTCGAGAAATTCTATAGTATCATTATGTGTCATATTTGTACTATTATTTGTTTATGTATGTAAATATTGTATATATATATATAATATAGCATATTGATTTCTGATCTACTCATTCATTTCTCTTTTTTTTCAAATTACAGATCGCCCATTCATTATCAAAACAACAACCGTTTGGGGTATCATCGACACGATTATCCAGTTTGTGGGGTCTCACCGCGATATTCGAGGTAACCAGGAAAAATCATCTCGTAGCGCATTGTTGCTTCGGTTTTCCAGTAATTATTATCCGCCGTCGTCATCCCATCATCATCAGTCGCATCAGCAACGTTCGCAGCCCGAAATGCTACGATCACGACAGTTTCCGGAGGTAAAACAAACAATTGGTTGTGCCGTCGTGGAAGAATGGGATGCGCCGCCTGTGTCGGTCGGCTATTCTTCACGTTTCCGAATTCTATTTGAGAAAGGCAAAAAAAACCATTGAATTGTCATATTGGCAATGAGGCGGAATCGACGGAAAACAATCTTTTTTTTGCGTTTCTGGCAGCAACAATAATTTGATGAGCAAATAGTTGGCTCATTCGAGCATCTTCTTCAATTGGATTTTTTTTTTCGAAATTTCCCACATTGACCACTCAACTTCCAAACTGCCTTCTTCCTAATTAGCGAAGATTTATTTGAAACGATCAACAAAAACATTTCGGTTTTTTTTTGTTCCTTGTTCCCAATAGCCTTTTTCGGACATAGTAGGTCAAAATGGAATCTTGGGGGTTTTTTAGTCGATCCTTTAAATGGACAGAAGAAATGAAAAAAAAAGTTAAATTATCATTTTTTTGTCACTTTTTCTGCATTTTCCCTCATCAATATGGGAAACAATTTTCTATACCAAAAATGGTTTTTTTTTAGGGATCTCACAACCCAAATTAGTTAATCACTAACGAATCCATTCAGCTGCCAAAATTGTTGGATTTTTAATCTTTTTTTTTTTTCAATTCGACTATTTTGAATCTCGCTGAATTGGTCCATAAAAATATTAGCAAAATTCGCAAAAATTTTGTGAAAATCACTTCAGAAGGTCGTCTTTTGATTTTTTTTTGCTCCATCTTCTACGGGCCAATTCATGAAATGACAAGAAATTATTTTAAATGTACATTTTTTACAACCCGGAATTGACAAAAAAAATAAAAACTTCCATTAAAATGCTATAAAAATCGAAATCAATTTGGTGTTTGTTCAATTCCAAAACACAAAACCCTCCCTCCAAAAAAAAAAGAAAGAAACAATATTGGCGGATGCATTAATTCGACGGGCTGCCCATCCATTTGATTCGCAAAAATGACGATCGCGAATCGCATTTAAAATGGCATAATTTATTTTGGAAACCAGTTCAAAAATTCATGAATGTTTTGTTGTTGATGATGGCGAGGAGGCGAGGCCGCGGGGCCATTCGGTATTGTTTATCGATGCATGAAATATCCACTTAGATTTTGGCGCAACCCAGCCCTCCAATTTCTTCGCCATCAAATCAAAACTTCTCCGTCGCCGCTTTTTATTGTTGCATTGGCGATGTCGGAATGAATTCGCGTTGCAGATTGCTGGAATCGCCAGCGACGAGCAGCCGACGTTGCGACGATTCACGCGTTACAATCAATCGATCAACACGAACCTCAAATCGGATTCACATCGAATGGAGCTGATTGATGAGGCGAAACGGACCACCAATTCCAATGGCGGTTCGGTTTTCGCGAAAAGGTTCGCCATCGGCTATGATAATTTCGATTGTTTTTTTTCGAATTTCAGCATGAAGAAGCCATTATTCTTCATGGGAAACTGGACGTTTCGCGACAAGAACAAACCATCGAGACCCTCAATTAATACAGTAATACGCGAGGAGCGACCGATGAGCATCAATCTGAGCGATGTGCGAACATCGCGGAGCAAAAGCGGCGATGCTACCGTATCGCGAACGTCGATAATCATTGGTGATGAGAGACATCCGAATGAGTTTCCGCGGCACGTTGAGACTCGAATTCCGGTGAGAATTGAGAGGAGCTCAATGATTCGCCAGAAGCCGTGCAGTCTGAACTCGTCGTCGTCATCATCGGCATCCTCGCCGTCACAAGAATACAAAAGTAAGCGATCATCTCTCGATAATATTCCCTGTGATTGTGATCCATTCAGCAAGCATCGCTGTGATGAATGAGCCGGATGAGCCAGTGATTCGTCCGCGAAAAGATTCCAATCAATACAGTTTTCAATCATGGTAGCCCTCATTTATTTCATTCTATTTGGCAATCAATTTTCGAGTTCAGCGTTCACTTGCGGAAATCGTGTCCCGATCTTGATACATCATCCCTAAGAAATACGGAAAATATGCGGGTCTCGAAGAAGCGAACGCGACGAGCCAAAGAGAAGATGGCGAGTGCCGCCTGGAGGAAAAAACCGGTCAAGGTTGGTCAAAATTCATTCCCAATTTTCGATTTTGCCGAAATCAATTGTGAGTTATTGAAGGATTGGACTCTTGACGATGTGATCCTTTGGCTACAATCGGTTCAAATGGACGATGTCGCTTCTTTGCTGATTGGCTATGATTTGACCGGAGAGGATCTCCTTTTATGGGATGACGACACATTGAGTTCGAAATGCGATTTTCCTTCATATTTATTCAACGTGATCACCAATTTCAGCTCGACTTGGAGTTTCGGATTCGTCCACTAGATCGCTATTATTAAAATCGCTTCGAGACACCATCGAAAAGGGTCCTGAGACGAAAATATCAACGGCTAGCAATAATTCACAACGAGCCCTATTCGAAATTGTCAAACAAAGTTCGTATGATCAGGTGGTTGCCGTCGAGACGCCGCTCACCACTCGCGATATAACCGTGACCCATGGAAGGCTTGGATGCCTCCAAATCACCAAGGTCAATGGGTGTAATTTACCATTAAAGGAGAATGATTGGTATGTGAATGCGTTCCATTTAATGTGATAATCGTCGTTGTTTTTTTTCCTTCCAGCCTATTAGAGATCAACGAATGCGCCGGTGATCAATTCAAATCAGCGTTGATGCTCACAAAACTCATCACAGATTCCAATGGAATGCCTATTCGATTTGTCGTTCTTCGAAAGAAGACTGATTGTGGAAGCGAAGAGCCATCGGTAAGCGTTTCGTTTTGATTTTTGTTCCAACGTTGATCTCGATATTGCTTTTTTTTTCCAGAAAGAGTCATCAAGCAGTGGAATCTCATCGACACCACATACTCCTTTGGCCTAATTTGATGCTTTATCTCGAAAAAGAAAAATGAAAGCCGATATACGGTACAATAATGAATTGTGAACGCTCACTTAATTTCTGTGAACTGGTGTTATTTAGTCTGTGATATTGTTAATAAAATTAGTGCATTCATTGATAAGATACACAATGTTTTTTTTGGCGATGCATTGATAACAAACAACGAGCAACTATTCTGCACACTCTTTATTGTTTTCGGACCCGAAAAATTGTGAGAAAAATACGTTTGAATTTTTTTTTAATTTCTGCATTGAGAAAAGAATTTACTTTGTTATACATTTCTTTTTTCATGAATAGATTCTTTTGATTTTTTTTTAATATTATGGCATTTTGATGAATACTATATATTTTATATTTGAATTTCCGCGTTGAGTTTTGAATGAAAAAAAAATGGCCCTTAGAATTTTCTAACTATTCTGTGAAAGATCACAATTTTAAAAAAGGATTTTAAGAACTTCGGTTTTCTTTTTTAATATATCGAATGAACGAATAGAAGCCATTTTTGGAATCACATTTTGAGAGAATTCTTTCTTTTTTTTTATTCGACTATCTTCATATTCTAAAATTTGAAATTATTCTATTTTTTCGATTTCACACCAATATCAATATATTCTGAATTGAAATTCACATATACATACTCAGATATGATTTTTGACGATGCGAAATCATCGCTCATTTTCGCGGACCATTCAAATTCGTACGCGGACGGCTGCAATCTCTACTGGTCGTCGCTGAACGTCATCGGTCCAGAAACGACGTCATCGAATATTGTGAATCGGCTCAAAACGCCAATCAAGGCTCGAAAAATATTGCACAATGTGAGCGGAATGGCGGAAAGCGGAAAACTGTTGGCGATAATGGGAAGCAGCGGAGCCGGCAAAACGACACTCCTCAATGTGCTCACTTCGCGCAATTTGGACAATTTGGATGTTCAGGGAACAATTCTGCTGGATGGAAAACGAACGAACAAGTGGAAAATGAGAGAGGTGTGCTCACAAAGGCCGATGCTCCCGGGCAAGAGCAACGAAATAGGGACCCAACGTGCTCTTGGTGGTCATCTGTTCAAAGAGGGGCCAAGTCTCTTACAAGGGAAATTATTTTACCTCCCGTCTTGGGATTTTTTGTAATTTTGCACACGTCAAGTGGAAGGTCTTCTGAATGTGTTCCCAAAATTCCAGTCTGCATTGGGGGGTTACAGGCGAGTTATGGCTATCTGAAAATTCAAGATATTTTTCCACAGCAATCAATTTCAAGATATTTTTCCACAGCAATCAATTTCAAGATATTTTTCCACAGCAATCAATTTTCAGATGGCCATAACTCGCCTATAACCCCCCCCCCCCGTACCGGCTCTTGTAAGAGATATAGCCCATTTGGAGCAGATGATCCCCAAGAGCACGTTGCCCTCTTATTTTGTTTGCCCCTCGGGAGCATCGGCCTACATAATTTGACAAATCAAAATGTTCCTATAGATATCAGCATTTGTGCAGCAGCATGACGTTTTTGTGGGCACATTGACGGCGAGAGAACATCTCAATTTTATGGTGAGTCGCGCAAAACGTCCGCAGATCGATTTCTATTTTAAATTAGGTAGAACTGAATCATTGACAATTGAATGCGTGTTTAGGCTCGTCTTCGAATGGGACCACAATTTTCGAAATGCGATCGTGAGCTTCGCGTTGAGACCGTCATAAATCAAATGGGCCTTCAAAAGTGCGCGGACACGATTATCGGAATACCGAATCAGCTGAAAGGATTGTCGTGCGGTGAAAAGAAGAGGCTCGCGTTTGCCTCCGAAATCCTCACGTGCCCAAAAATTCTATTTTGCGACGAGCCGACGTCGGGCTTAGACGCATTCATGGCAGGTTTGACGAGTTCGATGCGATTCCGATGAAATGGTTTTCCGTTCAGCAACCGTTGTTCAAGCTCTTCGTCGATTAGCCGATGAAGGAATGACGGTGATCATCACGATCCATCAGCCGAGCAGTCAGATCTACTCGCTGTTCCACAATGTCTGTCTAATGGCATGCGGCCGAATAATCTATTTGGGACCCGGCGACCAAGCAGTGTCGTTGTTCGAAAATTGCGGATATCCCTGTCCGCCGTTCTATAATCCTGCCGACCATCTGATTCGAACTCTAGCCGTAATCGACAATGATCGAGCAACTTCCCTACAAACGATAGCGGTGAGTTGAATTCAGAAGGTTTACAGCAACCGATTTTTGTAATTGTGATTTTCAGAAAATTCGAAACGGATTCTATCGGAGTGATCTTGGGAAGGAGATGTTGGCAATCGGGCAAGCGCAAGTGAATGAATCGGCAAGATCGGACAGTTTCGGATCCGAACGAACCGCCGCATTTTTCGCGCAAGAATACAAAACATCATTCTACAATCAATTTTGTGCCCTCCTTTGGAGATCGTGGATTACGGTTATCCGCGATCCGAACCTCCTATCTGTTCGTCTTTTTCAAGTCGTGGTATGATGAGATATTTGCGATTGAATTGTTGCTGAATTGAATATTTCAGATAACCGCCCTCATCACTGGAATCGTCTATTTTCAGACGCCAATCACCAGCGCTACGATAATTTCCTTGAACGGAATTCTGTTCAATCATATTCGAAGTTTGAATTTCATGCTTCAATTCCCGAATGTTCCCGTAATCACCGCCGAACTTCCGATAGTTTTGAGGGAAAACGCGAATGGAATATACAAAACGAGTGCCTATTTCGTTGCGAAAAACGTTGCCGAACTTCCACAGTATATCATTCTGCCAGTTTTGTTCAACTGCATCGTTTATTGGATGTCCGGATTATATCCCAATTTTTCGAATTTCTGCTTCGCCTCATTTATCGCCATTTTGATAACGAATGTGGCGATATCAGTTTGTAAGTGATTTCCTTGGTTTTTGTTTTTTTTTGAGATTCACATTCTAATTTTAATATTCTCCAGCGTACGCGGTTGCCACCATTTTCGCCAACACTGATGTCGCAATGACGATTCTCCCAATTTTCGTCGTTCCTGTTATGGCGTTTGGTGGATTCTTTATCAGTTTGAGCACAATTCCGCCCTATTTCATTTGGCTCCGAGATCTATCCTACTTCAAGTGACTCTTGCATTCCTAATATTCTTTTTCAAATCCTGACCTTCAGATATGGATATGAAGCGTTGGCAATTAATCAATGGGAATCGGTGCACGTTATTCCGGATTGTTTCAATTCGACAATTTCGTGCCCAAAGAGCGGACAAGAAGTTCTTGAACAAATCGATTTCGCTGCTGGAAACAAAATAGAGGATGCCATCATTTTATTCTTGATGTTCATTCTTATTCGAATTGTTGCTTTCATCGCGTTGATGCTTAGAAGTTTCAGTAGCCAATAATTTCGTTTTTTTTTTTCCTAATTAAATGGACCATAATTCTGCAAGTAAAACCATGCCCCAACTTGGCGGTCTGCATCTCAATTTATTTCGAATCTAGCATAACGACGAGCTATTTTCAATTCTATTCATTACCCAATATTGTTTTGTTGGTCTTCTAAGTTAATTTTGTGAACATAACAAATAAATATGTGTTTCATGTTTTCTCGCTCTTTTCATTATGTATTTTCCTCAAATAAACTGAACAAGTTCACACCGTCATTTTCAGCTTTATTTCGAAACATAACGTCTTCTTTGTGTGTCATTCATTTTACTCGACTACTAATTAAAAAATAGGCGAAATCGAAATAATTTCAGATTTTTGCATTTTATTTGCCAAAATTCTATGTTGTTTTTAAGCGACGAATTAACGTTTTTTTCATTTCCTCTTTTTTTTTAATTTTTTCGATGTACTATCTGCTTTTCATTGCATTATACTTAAAAGGAAATCCCAAAATAAGAATTTTCCCTTCAAATCCACCAATTCAAATGATCCGTTTTCTTTTGGATTGGAATAATCCGTTGAACATTTTAGGATAAATAGGGGAACACATTAAATAATTCAAAATTAAATCGGCCACGGTCTCGCTAAATTGAGGGCGATGGGGGTGAATGGAGTGTCGTATTGGTAGGGTAAAAAGATATTCACCGTTACATCGCTCAACCGCGTCATTATTGGGGGTTTCAAATATGACAGCCCTCTTCTTTATACTGTTAAAAAATAAAATATAGCCCGTCTTGCCGCTCCCCTACTTTAAAATCATGATAACCAACAATTCACCTCGAGCAAAAAAAAAAGCACTGTCTCCGATTGGAAAAAACGGCAAAAATGAAGACCGGCATTTACTCCAGAGCGGCTCCAAATTACGTTCCAGGACCAGTTGGAGGCCGCTCTAGAGAAGAAGAACAAACAATTCGATTTCGCACCAAAATTGGGCCCAAATTTAACTGCCCGAAATCACTAGGTCGTTGAGTAATTTTTTTAATTGTTCCCCCCTATTTTTGGAGCCGGCCGGAGAACTTCAAGAAATGAAAACAGAAGCTGTCAAGTCATCCGCTTATAAGGGATGACCGCAGAAGTCAATACAATAATAAAAAGAGGGTTTGCGATATGTGCAGACAGATTAGCTACGCAATGGAGTTCATCATTTCGTTCTTTTGACGGATCTCTCGTTCTGAATAGTGAAATAAGTAAAGAGCTTAGCTTACAAAAATTATTTTGTTAGTTTTTTAAGCAGCAAAAACAAAAAAATGTTCTCTATATACTCTGTATCAAACGACTGATCGAAATTTTGAAAATATATTGGCTATCGGGGAGCGCGGGTTCCTATGGTTCCTAATAGAAACTCACGGCATCACGTCCACTTGCTTCTCGTAAAGCCATTGAATACTTTTTTAGAATCAGATAGGAATATGACGACCCACGAGGAGACATGCGATCTAATCCATATGTAAAGGTAAGGGTAGATTGAATGTTGGTCCCATCTTCAGCCAATAGCGCTGTCGATGGGCGGAGTCAATCGGTCCGCATTTAACATGGCTATTTGCCATTTAGCCCGAATTTCCAATTTCGAAGATCTTTTGCAAAATTAAATTTCCCGCCATCGATCAGTCATTTGACGCCGACAATAATTGCATTGAATTGGTCTTTTCTTTTGTTTATTTTTTATTTTTACTGCATCGGCCCCTAATGTTCAAAAAATGATAATTACTTACTTGTAATATAGGTGCAATATAGATTTAAGCACTTGAGCAACTATTTAGAGCTGGTGAGGATTGGAATGGAATCTGAAAAATTAAAATAAAACGATGCAAACATCAAATATTCTGACAACCTTATACCAGTTGTTGATTCTCGCATCTTCTCGAAGTTTCCATAGAGTTTTGTATGAAATGAACAAGTTTAAAAACATTATTGATTTCAAAAATTTTATTTGTATTTTAATAGTTTTTCAAAACGTTTCGCAATTTGAGAGATTTTTCAAACCACACAACCGCCAGCGGACTTCCTCCTTTACAGTCGTCGGGCCCTTCGGACCACCGATGCGGAGCGTTTCTCGGCGCCGGGTGGTTTGACCGGCGACCGCGCTCGTGCGGGCTTAATAGTGACAAATTCGACTAAACGAATTCTTCCTCGATGAGCGAATCACAAGATGCTTGCGATTGACTATCGAGTTATCGCTGGCAGTTGTCCTCATCTCTATTTAATTGCGAACAATTTCAAAAAAAAAATATATATATAAGGTATAACATGCCTTAAAAATATTTAAAACAAAAACTCACCAACGATATCAAACGGACGGTGCTGAGCAAGAATTAAAATGATAGTGAATTCATTTATTTCAAGCTCACGCAAAAATATGTCACGCGCCTGTTTTATTTTATTAATTTATTAGGACTTACCAACCAATTTGGCCTAACCTCTTGATTTTTAAAGCTTTTCTGAATTGAATTTCAAAGTGTTCTTGGATTTTACTGCACTTAAAATTCAATTCATACCGCAGATGCATTTTTTTTTCTTTTAAGGATTAATTTTTATTCAGGCGGAATTTTCGATTGAATTTAAGAAAATAGGACCGGTTGTCGCATTTTTAACCAACTCAGATCGGTTTCTCTGATTAGAAAACAAAATAAATAATTAACCAGATTTTTTTCAAGTTGTATTCCAGAATGTTTCGGCCAGAATCAGTTCGATTTAAATATTTTTTAATGAGGAGTGAAAGTGCGCTCTATTGCACATCTCCACAAGCTCGTGTCAATTTACGCAATATTTCAATATTAAGTTTTTTGCGACTAAATTGAGTGTTTTTATGTAGAAAATGGAGGAACTTTCATCCTTTGACAAGGAAGACAAACGCGTAAAACATGCTGTAGTTCCGAGTTCTGTAAATGATAATAAGGTAATTATTTTTCATTTCAATTGGTTTAAATTCAATTATTCTTAATTTCAGGTGGTCAAGTTATCTCAAAAGACGCTTACTACAAAAAAAATAGTCCGTAAAGTCCTACCGGAGGAAAAATATGTGAAAAATCTGGAAAAAATTATTGAGAAAGACTATTTTCCGGAACTCAAAAAGATGCAGGTACGGACTTTTTTTTTTAGAGTAACGTCTTCTTATAAATAATTTAGGCACAGAAAGATTATCTGGAAGCTGTTGCCAACAAGGACGTCGTCAAAATTCGCGAACTTCAAATGAAATATTGTAGCGGAGCGAGTATTCGAACGAATTGCAGCTTCAGAACGCCTGGAACGTCGACGAGCATGGTTGAAATTGAGGATACGCCGAGTTCTTCAACTCCGGCTTATGAAAGAACGCCAGCGGAAGGAAACGACCTCGATTGGATTCACGAAAATCTTCCGTATGCAAATGAAGAAGGAGATAACGAGGTATCGATGGAATATAAATTGAAATGCACAAATGTAATAGTCATTCAGGCAATTGCACGAAAACGGCGGAAAAAACAAAATATCAATCTCACGACTTATCTTAACAAGTTCACATCTGAAGACAATGCATCATTTGAAGAACTTGCGCAAGTTACGAAGGAAAGGGAAGAAGCCAAAAGGAAGTGGTTGTATGAAGCAGAAGAAAAGCATAATAAAGAAAAGGTTTCATACAAACCATCAATGTTCATCCTTAATACATTATTTCTCCAGATTGCTTATCAACCAATCGCTGCTGAAGCTGATGTGCAGCTCGCCATTAAGAGTGCATCCGATGCTGACGATCTACGACCAAATGCAGTCGATAATTGGAAGTACACAGCTTGGAACACAGTTCTATTCAATCCCGATGGTGTCTCGCTTACAAAGCAAGAAGCGATCGAAGCAGCGAAAAAGCAAAAAATCGAAATAAACAAAAACGCTACCCGATTTCCTGGCGATTTAAAGTTAAAGCCGAGTGACGAGGCAATGTCTCGCGCTGCTGTCAACCAGGCATTGAATAATGTCGGTAAAGTCGACGTTCTCGGACAAGAAGTCAATCCAACCAATTCTCTGAAACTGCTTGCGACGCCTCAGCCAGATCCAGAAATCATGGACTCGCCGCTGATGACGTGGGGAGAAATCGACGGAACACCTTTTAGATTAGATCAACCGGATTTCTCGGAGCCTTCCAGTGGAGCGCCCACATTTAAAGTAGAGTGTTTTTTTTTTAAATCTATTTATTCAGCATCAAACCTGACGCAAAAAAAATCATTACTTTTCCTGACATAAAAACCGTTTTTTTAAGATACCTGATATTCCTTTTCGTGAAAAAATCGCCCAAAACATGCACGACTCAATAGCTGATAAGTATCGAGAAAAACGGAAAATTGCAATGAAAGCAGCAGAAGGAGCACAGTATTTTCTTTTTGACATTCTTCAAATATTTAACATATTTTTGTCATAGCAAAACGCCTGGTTTCGGTTCCACGAGAAAGATGCAGAAATTGGCTCAATTGTCCCCAGCTGCCCAACGATTTGCATCGAAGAAGCTTGGTCTTCAAGTTGCGAAGACACCAGCTCCACAAGAATCATTATCAATCAGAAGGTAGGAAATTTACCAATTAATGAAATATTCATGTTCAATATCAGTTGGATTAAAAGCCCTGCACGTGCAAGCACAACTCCGGGCTCTTCGTGGAGTTCAGGTGCTCAAACACCTCGAACTCCTATTTTATCAATGGTCCGAAAGAAGGAACCAACGAAGGATGATGATCGAGCAAAAGCAGGCGATTTCTTCTAAAGTGAATTATTAAATTTATGGGTCCTCGTTTTCAGCGGCTGTTAATAAATAGTGAGATTTTTATTGTTTGATTCTTTAAATTATCCAAAAGCATCTTTTTTCCGTAAGGAGAGAACCGTATAGACTACATACGTTTTGTACATGTTTGAAATTGAAGAAGCGCATACGTTTTTGTTGTGTTACGGTGTCATGAATCAAGAATTCTCGACGTTTGTAACCTTGTGATTCATAATGCGTTCACATCAGTTCAATGCCACAATTTTTTAAAAAGTCGCAAGTTTAGTATTGCCACACTGTACTAGGGTTTCCCAAGTAATATCGGTAATCCATCATTTTTTAGATTCGCAATGTTCATTAAATAATTGCGAAGGAATGCATGATACTAGGAATTGTCATTCAGAAGTTCTTATCTCATCTGTTCCCTTATCTCTTTTCCGACACATCATTTTTGTGCAATATAATATAATATAACATATTATGTACATTTCTGATTATTCGTTTTCTTCCGAAACAGCATTTTCAGCAAGAAAGTTTTGTGAGAGGAAATAAGAATTTGACAAAATGTTTTATAATACATACTCGTTATGTAGATGCAATTGCATCTTCTGCCCTATCATCTGAAAATATCTTTGGAATGGGCTTAAACATTGCAAAATTAATCGTTTGCTATTTGTCTTCTGTGTTTGTTTGCATAATAGCTTTTAATTTGATTAATTTCGACAAAATTGTTTTTATAAATATAAATATAGCAATAATATTAAACTTTTTCATTTTGTAGAAGTACAAAAACGTTTCCTTTATTAACATTTCATTTTTTTTTTGAAGAAAAATCACTTTTTTCCTTTTTAAAATTAAAAATTAAATTCTTTTTTTTTCTGCAATGAAATTTTCTTGATTTTAAAACGTTATTGTCTTACAAGGGGGACGAGACCCGGGATTTCCCGGATAAACCCGGGAAACGAAATTCCCGGGATCCCGGGAAATCCTGTCCCGGGTAGATACACTGGTTATAGGGACCTTCAAAGTTTTAGCTGATATCTGTTAGCCCCATTGTTGCGTAAAACTGACTAAATTCTAAAAAAAACAGTGACAGTGGTCTTGGCGCGCAAAACTAAAATTGTCGATTTATGGGCCAATGCATAAGAATAGGTTAAAGGCGCACAGCTGTCCGCTAATTTATTTGGTATTTAGCCAATTTTTCGCAATCGCGCAACTTCGACAATTGGTATTTAATTTAAAATACGTGAAAAAAAATCAAAAACATCAATACGAGAAGCAAATATAATTCGATTTCATTCCGAATAAATTGTTGCTAATTTCAGCAAACATTTTCGTCATTCTTCTCTTCGCATTTTAGATATCAGCTACTGAATTAAAACTTAATTTTTTTCTAATAAAATAATTTTTCAAACAGATGAAAATTAATCACTTATGGATTATTATAATCATCCAAAAATGTCTATTTGATTAATCCAAAATGCACAATTCCCGTAATTGTTTCAAATAAAACTGATATTCTTAGCGAATATCGATCGGGCATGGCTATTTGGAAAAAATGTTGGCGATTTCAATTATTAATGTGGGTTGAATCATCGCAATTTATTCATCATCCATCATCCTTTGTTTCGAATATCGGAGCGATTACAAATCCGAATTTGGATAACGAAGCATATGAGTACACATTATTATTATTATTATTATTATTATTATTATATATTTATTATATGGTTAATAATCGATGGCTGCATAACTCTGTGCTCACCAATAATATAGCAGTCGGATCAACACTTGACTCGTGTTCGGGCTCCTCAAAGAACTCTCATTCTCTCGATAGATTTTCGCTTCTTCTCCGCCCTTCTCTCTCAACAGTGTTTCTCCCAAAATTGGTATTGTTGATGGCGATTTTGGTGGTTTTGTCACCAGCGATCAATTTCCATTTCATTTTCCTTTTTTATGTATTATTATTATTGTGGCGTTTTGTGTGTTGTCGAAGGCTTTCATTTATTATTATTTTTTTATAGCAAATATGGGAGATTATCGATGTGATACGTTGACATCGGCAAAGCATAATCGAGCTGCAAGTCACTCATATTATTCACTTCTTCAAACGGTAAGATTCTTTCGAAACTATGCATAATCCTCTTGAGTTTTCTGCAATTCTGAGCTTCTCAAAAAATTCCAATTTTCATACGAATCAATTCATATTTCATTTTCGATTCAAAACTGTGATCGAAAACATGACATTACCAAGGCTGATTTTTTTCCCCCATTAAAACAAATGTATTCATTCGATTCGATTTGTAATTGGCACTCGTGAATGGACGAAGGTCGGGACCCTTTTGATGACCTCGGGGGTGTCATATGTAGATTATCATCTGGTGTTGGATCGAGTGGAAATGATTTACGAGAAGATGAAAAAAAAAATGCAACATCTGTCGCCAGAATATACTTCGGCGAACGTTGGAACGACTGAACGCATCTGGTTTTTGTATTAGAAGAAAAAAAAAGACTGCGATGTATTCTGACGAATTGTTCGAGAGTTTGAGATGTTTGTTTTTTTTCCGAGAGGGTGATTTTCTCGACGAAACAACCAATTCTGTGAGATTCCCATTAAAACGTCTCAATTATACAAAATGGTATTTCCCGTTTCGAATCGTTTATGTAAATAACCCGACATGGACAAAAAATCGATTGATGTCTATCAAAACGCGAAATAACGAACAAATGAAACTGCGCGTCCGATTGTCTGTTGACTAATAAGGTAAGCACATTCATGTATATTGTTTGGATGCGTTGCAGTGTTCGCGAAACCATTTGCGCGCGTCTCGGGACCCTCACAATTCGACGCGGTGTTTCGAAGTTGCGGCCGGCACGAGTCTTCGAATCGCGCACCAGCGGTCCCAGCGACGGCCAAGAGCGAATCACCTGTCTCGCCGTTTTCCTCGCGTCGTTGTTCTCGTTTGGTGTGGTGGTTCGTTCGCCATTTGGTGACACCCTCGTGCCCACCCGCGTTCCTTCCCGCTGTGCTGCGCAACACGCGCAACATCAAATAAATAATAATATGAATGTTGCGTTTTGAAAACCATCAAGACAGCCACCCAAAATTGGCGTCGGTACACCTATTTTGATTGGTGTGACGACCGCACAGCGTGCTTTCTCGACCGCTCGATGATTCATTGATAACGTCTTTTATTGATTTTGGCCTTTTTTGTATATTGCTATTTCGTTTCGTCTTTCGCCGTTTCAAGCGCACAGAACTTTCTCATTCGTTTCGTTGTTTTGAACTCAAAAAAAAAACCAAATTATTTAATTGTCGCAATTAACATCCAATTATGTCCTATTTAACCTTAATCAATGTTTTGTGTAGAATTTTGAAGCCAATTTATCTCACAAATACTCCGACTAGTTCAAAACAAAAAAAAATCACCGAACTGTGAATATTAGCATGAAAACGAATTTGGAATTATTAATTAAAATTTTTAATTTGGCCATGAAAGGAAAAAATGAATTCTTGCCGAAAAGATCGATTTCGTCGTCCACTTTCGAATAAAAAACCAAATTTTTAAAGCCTTCTTTCAAAAAAAAGTTGGAAAAGAAAAAGGAATTTCATTATTTTCAATAAATTTCCAAATTCAATTTACCAAATCTGGCCGTTCTTTTTTTCAAAATCTATTCAAGTCATTCTCTTTCACACATTGGCCTCTCTTTTGCATTATGACTCTTCCCTATTCGTCGAAACCTTACAATTATGAGAACGTCCCACTTAGATTCGAAGTCTTCGTCGATTTCTTCTTGCACTATTCCTTGAGAACATTCACAATCAATACAATCTCGAATGCTCGCACGATTATTAATTTTTTCCAGGCCGAAATCGCGATGAGCTCGTCAAACGAACCAAGTGCATTTAAAGTAAGTCGAAACGAATCGTTGTTTATTTATTTTCGCACTTCATCATCGTCTCAAGTGGTTTGACTTGTCGCTGCCCTCAGATTCCATTTGATGCCCTTTCGGAACATGCCGCTGAATTTTCAATTCCTCTACACATCGGTGTAGTGGTGTGCTAGAAATTACATCGACCATTCGCGGTTTTGAAAGGCTCAGCATGTAATCCGTCGGTCGCAAATCTGACGAGTTTCTACTTGAATTCGTGTTCTTTTTTTTGTTGGTTCGCGTGTTCATCGAATTTTCTTTTTCGGCGCTGAAATCGATGCGTCAGCATTGTTCTGATGATCATGTGTGATCTCGGCATTGTCAGCTGCATTTTGACTCGATTCAAATTGCCTGTATTTGTGTTTGTGTGCACTACCAGAGCCCCAGCGTCAATTTGTTTATTCGCCTCGAATTCGCTCATTGATTCAAATGTTTGAAGAGTCACCCCCCACGAATCGCTACCGGATACACTTCGGCGAGCAGCAACATGGTCTTTTGCTTGCCTCTGCCTACCGGCTACCCATTCCATCAAACATTTCGACGCCTTTTTTATTTCGTCTTGAAAATTTACTATTCTGCGTGTTTCATTTTACAAGAGCATTCTTATTACGTTTAGGATTTTGCCCTGCAGACAACCCCTCAAATGTCCGCAGATGCTTTTTTATTCAATAACCTACTTCACATTCTACCAAATTTTAATGTTCGCGCATTAAAAAAAACACAAATGCCATTTTTATATTTTTTTTTCCATGTTTTTTTATAGAACCAATAGTTCATTTCCCATTTAATCGCATTTGGTGGTCTCAACAAGTGGCCAAATTATTGAACCTATCAAAGGGAAGAAAAACCCGAATCCGGCCGGCATATGAACGAATATCGAATCGGCAGCAACAAGTCAAACCACTTGAGACGAGTGTAGATAAGAATTTGAGAAAAAAAATCCTTCCGTCTTAATGATATTGATTCGCGTTTATTCAAATCCGATTTTTCTTTTTCAATACTCATTTCGATTTCGACATGGTCTCGCTCCACATCAATTTGATTTAATGGGCTTATGCGCAAAGACGAAAAGAAACGAGAAGAAGTCGCGAAAAAAAATTGGGCGAGCGGGAAGAACCTGAAAATTTAATGAGGTCCGCCATCAGGAAGCGACGAATTGTAACAGTATCGAGAGGTTTTGCTGCCAATCGCTATTCCGCCTGCTTCATTTCATTTTTTTTTCGTAATTCTTCTCGTTTAACCTCTAGTAGTATCGTTTTACTATGCGATGAGTCACCTGAGGCCGCATAGTAAATAGTGACAGATCATATGCGCATAGTGTCATACAGTCTTTTCTATTGTTGCATAACTCGCAAATCCTGTTTCAGTACTTTTTTTTCTTATTTATTTTACAACATTTTTTGCGACAATATTTATATGGAAATTTTGAGCAAATAATATTTTAAAAATAGTTGACGTAAGATAATTAAAACTTATTTCATTTTCAATTGTATTCCTTTTACAAAGGTGGAAAAAATAGAGAATGAGATGAAGCTGGATTCTTGAATTGAATTTCCCACGTCTTATAGAATTTTTTTGCCAATTTAATGATTTGTAAACAGTCTCGCTGAAAATTTCTGAAAGTATTTTCTGATCACTCTCTATTTGCAATGCAATTTTCTAGATGATTCGCCATTTTGTTTTTTATTTTATTTGAGCACAAACTACCGTGTGAAAGAGCATAAAAAAACACTGAAGGTCTTGCTCATTGAAAAAAAAAACAAATTCCAACAAAATGAAACTGACTCAGGTAAATGATAATCAATCGGATTCGAAGAAAAATTCCGTTTTCAATCTAGTTCGAATGTAAATTCATCTGTTTCGAATTATTCCAAAATTTCAAAATTGAGAAAGAAATAAATCAATCGATTCCGAAGATTTTTGAATCCAAGATTTCAAATAGAATTTGAATTATTTTTCAATCAGGTTTATTTATAATTATTGATTTTCATTTACCCTAAGAATTTTTTTTGCATTTTTTTTGGATCGATTTAACTTCTCATCATTGTTCTTTCTATATGTACATAGTTGAGGCATTATTTTTTCGACTAGCGACTTGCCACCTTGAGATTTGCTTAATATACATTAGAAACAAGGAGGCAAATGCATCTCAATTGCAATTTCAATGTCATTATTCTGATGGCCGCCCTCTTCTTCGCCTTTATTACCCGTCGCCGCATTTTCGACATTCCTTCGCTTCTCTGCTCCATCCTTCACCTCGTTCTACCATTTCGGGGGGGGGGGGCGCATTGTTCAATGATGGTAAACGGGAGAGAGGAGAAAAAGAGAACGAGGTGCAGGTGGGACGTGTTGTTGTCGTTTGGCGCTGGTGGTGAAGGTGGTGAGGGTTCTCATGGTCATTTACCCGCCCCCCCCTCCAAAAAAAAAAAGCCGTCGAGGTTCCGGGCGCGATTTCATTGATTTTTTTGGCTATTTCAAAACATCACACGATTCCATTTTACAGCCAACTCGCTATTTTCTGCCTCGCGACAGCAGCCAAATGCTTCACAGAAGTCCATCGGGAGCGAAACGGAAGATCCGGCAGAAGCGGGATGGGGAAGGGTGAGCAATTTTGGACAAAAAATTTCGAGTTCTCTTGACCGTAGAGGATGTCGGTTTCTCCCAATTCTAGTCTCTCCAATGTCTTTTCAATGATAATTTCAAACCTTGCCAGACTACCAACGTTTTTCTTTTTTTTTTCAGAAGCCGCCCATCGCCATTTCTCTCATCTTCTTCTAGTTCAACCTCATCGTATCACGAATCCTCAGCATCGCCATCATCCACCGAAAACGTGTCGAACTACCGTAGCCTAATCGATTCCGGCGACTATCAATCAATTCTGCCTGATTTCAATTCAACAGTGCCACCAGTGCCAACGCCAAGGTATATTCATCATTAAACATTTTTCATCATTTTTTGATTATTTCAAAAATAGCCCCATTTATTAGTGAATACGATGAAGCGTGTTAGATAAGCGGCAAATAACAATAGCAATAATAATATTAATAATAATAATCATGATTTGGAATAGTATCAATCGAAAGGCTGCGTTCCGCGCATTCTCTGCACTTTCGCTGCCGTTCGATGCGTTTCTTCCGATATTCATCATCATCCGCATTCGAAACTAAATCCGCCAGTTTTCACCTTTTCGCCCATTTCGATTCCATTTCGATTTCGTCTTTCCCATCATCCATTCTCAACTTTTCCTCACTTATTGGCCATTTTTGCAGACTAAACGTACCGTACTCATCATCAATGAGCTCTTTGGAACTCTCATCGACGGCCATTCATAAACCGCCTCCGCCGCTTCCGCCGACGAATGCGAAGCCAATGATTGAAGTGCATCCGATGCCCACTGACGAGTGCGCGTCGCTTTCAGGATCATCGATTAGTAGCTCAACGGATTTGGACTCTTATAAGGCTAAGCCACTTCCACCAACGAAGCCAGCCGTGCCAGCAAAGCCGAAGACATTGCTTATGAATCATTTAGACAGGTTCGCGTTTTTTTTTCAATTAATATTTAAAAGAAAATACAATTCTATCCGGTGCATTTTGGTTTTTTGGGTCACGATCAGCCTCGTGACACCTTTATCATTTTCTTTTTTCTCAACTTCCGTTCTCATAAATATATTTCAAATTTCGATTTTCATCTTCATTGTTTCCGGACAATTGTAATTGAAACGGTTTCCGTTTCTAAAACGTCTTGTTGAAATTGCTATACGATTGAAATTTATAGCATTATTGCCGAATACATCTATGTTTCATTTTTCGAAAAAATTGTTTGACAACTGTATGAGTCACTTAATAACAAGCATTTTGTATAGTTGCAAAAACCGAAACGGGCGTACGCGAATCAATTTTCGTTGCACACATTTTATTTGCTCTTCGTCCCTTATCAAACTTGTTCAGCTTCATTTTTTTGGGTGAGAAGTGCTTCTTCACTCAATTTACAGTATTGATTTTCACACTTTTTACGATTGCTTTCGTCCATTCCAATCACAAAAAACATTTACAAAAAAGATAAGCATTTGTTTGCTCATCGCATTTTTTTTGCTTACAGGTCCACCTCAATGACATCGCTTTCGTCGCCGGTACAGCACACGACGTCGACATTCCTCAACAATTTCATGCCGACGCCTTCGCTCATCAATTTGCAACAAAGCTATCGGAATCCTGACCTCGGTAGTCAAGATCTCGCCAAATTGGAGAATACGCGGCAAGAGGTTTGTCGCAAAATGAAGCAAATAACCGAATTATTTCAAATATTTTTCTTTAGTCAATTCAAAAGGTCAACAAGATTCTAATCAATTACAATGAGGAAAAAAACAATATCGATCATGAAATGGAGGAGGTGAATTTGTGAAGAAAATTGAATTTTTGGAAATTTTCTAAAATTAGTTGATTATTTTTTGAATGACATTCGAGAGCAGGCATAATTTAATTTTGAAATGTGACAATTGAAAAAAGAACATTTGAATAATCCGAAATACAATTATTGGAGATTTTAGTGTGAATCTTGCAGATCCAACGCACCGGCGCAAGAATCTTGTCGATAATTGAACGCCATGATAAACATCTCGCCAACAAAGTTCGCCGCCATTTGGAGAATAGCAAGGAATTGCTCGAAATCGAAACCGAACTGGAAATGCAACTCAAAAAGTTGAACGAGCGCTCAAAAGATGGAACAATCGATAAACCGTCGGCTCATTTCGAGGAGAGCCGATTACGACGCCGATTCCAAGAAATCGATTTGTTGCGAAAAATCTATTTGAGAAGAGAAAACGACAATGAGAAAGACATGGTTTGACATCGAAGTTCGCTTTTTTTGAATCGTTGTCAATTTTTTCAGGCGGAGCTTCTCACAGACGACGAGTTGCAGCAATGGAAACGTTTCAAGAAGACAACATTCCGTCTTTTGGCAAATGATGTCTCTGTCGACTATTGCATTCGTGAATCGAAAATGAAACTTGATGCTCTTCATTTGGCTCCAGGAACCAACACCTAATTATATTGACATTTACATTTCCAATATTTTGATCAACGCGGGTATTTTGTTTGGATTTTTCCCAATGTACATAGAATTTGTCGGTTTATTCCATGTGCGATTCCATAAAAATACAATTTTTTTAATTTATCGCTCACTTAGTTCTGGATTCATGTTCTCCATGATCGATTCGATTTTCTCCTCCAATGTCGGCAAAACTTCCTTTTCAATGAACAAATGAGTCTCGTCAAGCTCCTAAAATAGTTTTTTTTTAAGATCTCAAAATATCTCGAAAAGGTGTACTCTGATAATAAATTTGGATCCGAGCTGTCTCGACTCATCCAGATGGATCAAAAGCTGCCTGAATGCAGGGTCGCTGGTAACAAATACACCTTTTTTCACATTGACCATCTAAATAATTTTAATGACGTACAATATCGCAAAAAAATTCAATATATAAAATACGGTGGAAACCAGTAAAATTATAGAAAAGTACAATTAATTAATACAAAGTTTATAAACGTAGGAATGAATATTCACAGCAAAGTAAAAGAATAAAACCCGTTATTCACATATCATCGAGATCTACACCCCAAACATCAAGTTCCTCAATTTTTTCATCAATTCGATCACGTAAAATAATCTGAAAATTCATAATTTTGGTGGTATTCTTGATAATTTTTGAGATTGACCTTCGCGCTTGAAATAATATTTCTAGCATGCTGAATTCGAATTTTTCCCAACACCTCCATCAATTTCCTTTCATCGGCTCGAGCAACCTCAAAACGTCTTTTCTTGTGAATGCGAACACCCATTACTCTTACAGAAGCCACCGTTTTAAATCCCGAGTTGAACAAAACCGCAGCTCTTCCCTTTTTGATTCCTTCGATTGCCATAAGGGGCAACAACTCAGGTTGTGAGGCTTCTGACAGTTTTTGTACAAGTTCAGGTAAAAGCTGACGGAGAGGCCAAAGAGATGCAATTTTCTTTAAAAAAAAAATTGTTTTTAAAAAATATATGAAATGACTACTTACCTCGGAAAACTTGGCAATGGATGCAGCTTGTGAAATGGATGATTGTAGCGTGGACTGAAGCCATCCCTTCTCAACGCCAAATCTTAAAATCGAATTTAATTATGGATGTGATTATGTAGTTAATGAAACCAACCTATCAGCGACAGCGCTCAAACTCTCGTGGTCCCAAATTTTTTGTAGCATCATAGCAATATAAAGACGCATTCGAGGGCTTCCAGGGACCTAGAGCAATTATTCTCATTAATTTAGAGAATTCATCAAAATATTAATTTGTCATTTCAAAACACTAGTCTTTCATTGATATAATTCTAGTTTACCTGTTCAACTCTTTTGATAATTGCATCCAGAATGTATTTTTCGCTTAATCCGCAACGATCTAGCAAGTTCTTTTCACTTATCGGAAGCGCGTTGTACTGAAGTTTGGATTGTCAAGAAAAAACAAAATGATTGATTGCATTTACCAACATTAAGAAAAGGTCCCAGTTAATATTGCAGGCTTGATCATAAGGAGTAATGATAAATAACAAATGGAAATGAGATGAGAAGATGACTCCCTGATTCAGCGACGTTCGCAGGTCCGAATATAACCGAGTTGCTTCTTCTGGTGCAAATCCAGCAACAAAAACTGCTTTGCCAAGATCAGAAGCCGTCAAATTTTCCTAAAACTATGACGAATTTTTTGCGAAAGACTAACAAATCCGAAACCTTGTCTTTTTCTACCAATTTCTTGTCGATGAGAATCTTTAAGCAATTCTCGACCATTTCTCGAATATCATCTTGACTTTTCTGAGCAGCAAGTAAAGAATATCGCACCGCAACTAGCAATTCATCTGAATTTGAAGCAATCTACAACAAAAATGAGATTATCTTCGTGAAAAAAGTTCGTTCACCTTTAATGATAGTAAATCCAATAAAAATGATTCCATGGTTTCTTCACAAGAAAGTGCACTGATGCACTTCGGCAACTCCGAAGTCAACATTTTCCGAAACCATCGTTCTTCTTCGCCCGGCCTCACAATTGTGATGCAGTCTCCTTTCGTATCAAATCCAGCACGGCCAGCTCGACCAGCCATTTGAAGATATTGCGCTTTTCCAAGTCGATCTCTGCCAACCATCGGAGCCTTAAAAATTGAATCTCGACGTCAATAACAAATCATTGAATTGTTTGAACCTTAATTATGACCCTTCTTGCTGGAAGATTCACTCCTGCTGCTAGTGTCGACGTCGCACAAACAACGAAGATGAGTCCCTCCATGAACGCGGCTTCCACATATTTCCTCTCATCCTGCGTCAAACCCGAATGATGATATGCGACGCCCGAAAGCAAACAATCTCGTAGCAGACGATCCATTTTCTCATCTTCATCGTCCGAATAAACTGACTGAAGAAATATCTCGCGCTCTTTCCTTTTTTGACGCCGAATTTCACTGGAATAAAGAAATATCAAGTTTTTTTTTGTTGATTAAAAAAATATTCTTACGGCGGTATTGATTTCACAAGAAGAACAGCAACATTTTCGCAGTTTTTCTTATTTGGGCAAAAAATGACCGCCGAATTTTTCGGAACCAAATTTGCAATCAAAAGACAAATCCCATCAGGATCCTCCCTATTCTTCTGAAATATTTTCAGAAGTGAAAAGAAAAGAACGTATAATCCATTTACTTACATTCGGCTGTAAATCTCCCGACGGTTTCAAGCCGCCGTCGTCTTCCACTTGATACATAGTTTGCCCAATTTTAACGTACTCTGTGAGCGCGACAGGTCGGAATTTAGTCGAATAGACAAATGCTCGCATTGAGAGTTGAAGTTCGTCGAGATTCGGCAGTGTTGCAGACATTCCAACGATCTGACCAGATCCTTTAAAATGTGTTGAGAACTCCAATAATCAAATTGTCAAATGAATACCCTTGTAAAGATATTTTGCAATGACTTGTTCAATAATAGCACCGCGACCTCTTTCTCCAATCATATGAAGCTACAATTTGGGAATTGAAACAAAATACAGTCCCGCTCAAAAGGTTGGAAACTTTTGGTTTTTTGGGCATAACTTTTTTGAAATCAAACTTTTTTCCATGAACTTTTTTTTCCGATTGTTTCTTACGCAATTGCCGATATAATGAGCTATTAAACATGATTCGTGCTTACCAAATAAGGATTGTAGGCCAATTTTTCAGAAATCCGTAAAAACACATTTTTTGGATATTCAATTTAAGTCGGTTTTTTTTACCGGAAAGATAGTTTATTAACACAAAATCATTGGAAACTAAAATTATAAGGGGAATACTTTATTGTAAAACCTCGGGAGTCAATAACTGCCTGGCATCTGCGAGGCATAGAGTCGATCAAGTTGTCGATGACCGAGAGTGGAATCTTTTTCCATTCTTCTTCCGATTGTCGAAACTTTTCGTTCGAATTTGTGGTGGTTCTGCTTGCCACTCTTCTCTCCAACTCTTCCCACAAGTGCTCGATGGGAGTCAAGTCCGGGGACTGACTTGGCCAGTCCATAACCTTGATGTGCTGACTAGCGAACCAATCCTCAATTGATGAATATTTGAGAAAAAAAGCGAATTTTCTTAATTTCACAAATTTGGAAGTGTGCTTTGGGTCGTTGTCCTTTTGGTAAACACAACCACGACCCATTGCCTTTAAATGCGGCAACATCTTCTTCTCCAGGATCTCCTTATAGACGAAGCGATCCATGATTGTTTTCACATGGTGAAGGGTGAAAATGCCTTTTCCGGAAAAGGCACCCCCAATGATGCAATTGCCTCCCCCATGCTTTTCGGTAGGAGTTTGATACTTGGGATTGTATCGAGAACCTACAGGACGGCGGACCCATTGAATTCCGTCACTTCCAACGAGCTCTCATCCGACCAAAGAACACCATTCCAGTCAAATCGCGTCCAATTCAGATGTTGCTTATCCCACTCGACCTGGCGTCGTCTATTCTTCTCCGAAATGAACGGGTTCTTCACTGGTCTTCTTCCGAACCATTCTGCCACTGATAAACGGCGTTTGATTGTTGATACCGAAACGGGCAATGGAGAATTCGCAAAAACTTCGCGCTGGATCGCCGGTGCCGTCATTCGCGGGTTGAATTTGGAGGTTCGTACAATGCTTCTATCAGTTGCACGATCTGTCACGCGTGGACGACCAATATGGCACTTCTTTGGGACCCCTCCTTGAGTTTCCCATCTTTTCAAACATTTGAAAATGCAAGATTTTGTGACATCAAACTGGGCGGCCAACATCTGCAGGGTTGCTCCTGTTTGACACCCTGCGTAAATTGCCCGCTGTTGTTCAACAGTCAAGTTCCGCTTTTTTTCGATAGTGGACTTGTTTAAAATTACAAAAATAATAACGGCATGCGAAAAGAAGCACAGAAAAATAGTAAAAAACGTTAGAAAAAAAAGTTGAAAAAAGTGATTTTTGAAAAAAAAAAATGAAAAAGTCCACAAAAACTTTACACATAATTGCGTATGATAAGACTACCGTACCAATAATCTTCTGATTATATTTATCAATATATCTGAAAGTTTCACCTCGATCCATACGTTTTCGATCAAGTTATGCCCAAAAAACCAAAAGTTTCCAACCTTTTGAGCGGTACTGTAAACCGAACAATCGCAATTTACCTCATCAATTACAACCAATCCCAAATCAGCTAGCTTATTTTCCGAAATCATTGAGTTGATAAGCATGTTCGCTTTTTCAATAGTTGCTACATACACGGATATCTTTTTTCTACGCTTTATCGGCGGAAATCTTCCTTTATTTGACGCGTATTCTTCAATGTTTATACCAAACGCTTCTTCAAATGGGGCCAAAGAGGAAATCTATGTTTTTAAAAAAAAATTAAAAAATACAAAATAAAACTCATATGGGAACCTTTTCTTGAACAATTGCCACATAAGGTAAAACTAATAAAGCGCTTCTCCGTTTTTCAACGGCTTCTCTTATCATTAAAATCTGCAAAATTCTTCATATTTTCAACGCCCACCTCTATTTTTTTGAATTACTTCAGCAATCAGGGTTTTTCCCGCACCAGTGGGCAACGATAGAATACAATTTTGTCCATCTAATAATCGTTTATCGGCCAAACATTCTTTTTGCCACTCTAAATTCTATTATAATTGGTATTAATTCTTCATCTATCATCGGTTACCATAGAAATTTTTTAATTTTTTTATGGAAGAATATGTTTCCAAGTCCTTATCACTCAATGCTCGTATATTCGAGTAAGTTTTTGGTGTCGTCGGTTTCGGTGTAGAGATTCCAATAATTTTAGAGTTCTCATGCCGAAATGATAATCCGAAGGAGTCGTTTTCATCTGTGCCTTCGTTAGCGAGAGAAGTTGCCGTTCGAAATCCATCAGCCTATTATTTGTTGCCATTATCTTTCTCAAAATTTAAATGACGAGAAAAAAATTAAATATTAATGATATTTTTCTACGGATAACTTCAAAAAAATTTAATTTTTAATTTTAAGGGCTTATTTTTTACGAGTTTTTTAAGCCACATTTTAAAATGTAAATCCAAAACTCGATTTTGTGCTTAACTCACCAAAACAGACATAGAAGATCTTTTGATAAGCGGTATTCCAACTTTTCGAGCCTGTGGCGTTAGTGTAGAAACTTCGGAAGTTCTTTTCCGAACCGGATTCACGTTTTCAGATTCCTTGGCCTCGAAACCACTCGATTCATTAAACCAACTATCTTCTTCCATTTCTAAAACATTTAAATGTGGTCACATCAAAACGAAAAAGTAGCTAATACTCGACGAAACTGAAAATTTAAAGAAACGAAAAAAAATGAAAATGTAATGAAGCAATAATATTCATATCGTTTGTTTAAATACCAGTAACCGGACAAAAATTGAATAAATCGACACAAAACGCGGATAAATTATGTTGAAAAAAAAAGCTACACAAATTCGAATAAAAGCTCGACACATTTTGTTATCAGTTATGAAATAAAAATGATGAAGAAACACGTTCACGAATATACAAGGAAATAGACCAGATCAATTATGGCCTACAATTATGATGATAAAACTAATGACTATGATGGTTATAATTGCGTGCGGCTACCTGTACAATCTAAGCAAAAACATCAATTATATGTTTAATGATAGTATTCAGAAACACTCATCAGCTTCAGCTTGACTTGCCGCCGAATTGCGACCATTATCGCTGGCATGCTGCGGCTTCGGTGTCGAGAAACGCAAGGCGGCGGCCACGGAAGTTCTAAAAAAATACATCATATTTACGAATGAAATTTGGACACTTTAAAGCAATTTCGTTTTACCAAATTTGAATATCGTCGCGTAAAATTCTCGATGATTTTTTTTTCAAATATCATGCGTTCAAATAAAAAAATATGTGCATGTTTCACTTTCTACGCTGCAAATTTTTGGCGTAATAAGAATTCAAAAGCCAACGAAATTATTTTGAATATAATATGTATGACACACTAAAAATGGGTGAATATGCCTTGAATTCGTGCGTTTTACCTGTTTGTACTCCGATAGAACACCTTAACAATAATTAATATGAATTTTTTTTAACACAATGATATTGGAAGTATAAACGCGCCAAACTTACACTTTTTTCGGTAAAATTCGAGGTGTTGGTAGTCGGGATCTCGGTGTAGGAATTTTCTGAAAAAAAAAACGACGGCATTACAGTGGAATGAGAAACAACGACACACAGTAACTCCATTCGCGATTTTATTAAGTGCATGCGAACCGTCGACAGATCGACTTGACGAAAGAGAGCCAGCTGAAGAATGAGTCGAAGTTGACTGAAATATATCGAATTATTAGCTGATTTTAATCATCCCTACCACAAATAAAAAAGAAATTTTGATATAATTGGCTTTTCGCTTTTAAGATACGTTAATCTAGCCATTTTTGTCAAAAATTACTTCGCGATTCTCAACAATTTAGCTCAGTTATTCGTTGAAAACATAATTAAATTTGTCAATTTTAGTAATAATTGAATTTTTATTTTTCTACCTGTTTCATCTCATCGATATCCCGTCTCTCGCCATTTTGCGCCAAATTATTAAGTGCAGCTCGTTTTAGAGCTAAATAAGGAACCAACAATTTCAAAAACTCATTGATTTCCAAACCTTCTTCCTGCATATGAATCAAACTTTGCAATCCTTCGAGATTTGATGTCTTCTGCGCCGCCGCGGCGCGTTCCGAATTAATCGATCCCGGATTCGAAACGGCCGATGAGATGTGAACCGCCTCATTGGGCAATTCTTTCTTATCGTGAACTGGTTCCGGCTGGAAAAAAAGAACATTCAGAAAATTAATAGTGATTGATTTCGAGAAAACGATTAGTAGACTATGGGACAAATGTTGAAAAGCAAACAAATGCCAACCAAGCGCAAACCTTTCTTAAAACCGATGCCACTGAGTAGCTCGTGCGTTTCGCCGGCGTCGTAAATGATAAGTTAGTAGGAGTCTTGTTGGCCAGCGAATTGATAGTAGTAGATTTGGGAATGTGTTGCGCATTCACATTGTTTACTCGTAAAACGGAACGAGCTGTTCGCGACGAGACCGGTGTACTCGTCAATGGTTGAAGATTTCCATTTGTGGCAAGTAGAGATAATTTATTCGATCTTCCAAGTGTTCTCTGAAGCTGTTAGTCAATATGATCAAACTGAGAAAGGTTAAAAACCGGGTTGCGCTCGAAAAAAATTGATTCGTAGAATTTAAGAACCCGAAAAAAAAAGAAAAAGTGCCAAACAAAAGACATTTTCGAAATAATAACAGGAAAATTCCAATAATGATTCAAATTGTAGATGCTTTATATAAGATTGTCAGCAAATTGATTAGTGTTCTAATCCGAATACTCCTTACCGTATTATTAGCAATACCATTAGGCAATCCTCTTTCATCCAGTGGCCTTGGACTCACAGAAGTGCTTCTGAATCGATAAATTTTTTCGAACTACTTAAAACTATGGAAATAACCTAGCTGTCTTTTGACGCCCTCCATCAACAAAATCAGAGGTTTCTTCTTCTACACGAACTAAAGATTGGGTCATGTTTCGGTTCAGAGACATTCCTAAATGAATTTCAATTATTTGAACGAAACCACATAGAAAAATAGATAGCTAACTTGGAGGGTGCAACTGAATATATAGATTCATGCAATACTACGATAAACTCGCCTATCATTTGATCACAAATCTGTTCTGTTTCATCCTTTGGTGTCTCCTCGTCAACAGCATCAAAAAACACTTCATCTTCGTCATCCAGTGCAACAGCGTCGTCCAATATAGCAGAAGTCCCAACGGATAGTTTATCAGGCGAGGCAGATCGTTCAAGTAGCCATTCCGAAACTTTAACGTTCGGCATCATATTTGGTAATCCCGGCGAGACCATTTGACTATTTGTCACTGGCGCAGACAATTTTCGGATTTGCTCTTTATCACAGCTGCTCAAGAGCATCACTAGAAGTTGGGCTTCTTCCAAATCCATGGGCTCATTTTTGCGTCGTCCTTCCTCTGAATACGACGACAGTCGTCTCTGTTGAATTTCGGCAGATTCATGATCAATTCGCGAACGCCCAACAGAACGTGCTTTATTGATTTCTTGGGGATCCACGTTTTCAGAAGGTGGCGGAGGAGGTGGCGACGTCATCGATTGCTCTTCAGAAGCCGATTGGCGGGATTCATCGATTTCGCGCACAGTCGAGAGATCGACACGCCGACGTCGACGTTCTTCCTTCTCAGCTGAAACTCGCACAATACGAAACAATCACAACACAACATCCATGAACAGGAACACAATTTTGCGAGCACACAAGAACAAAAATGCACCTAATCATTTAATCTACATTTTTAAAAATAACTTTGGCCTTTTTTTCAAAATAAAGGTATTTACATTTAATAAAATGTATTTGAAGAAAAATTCCAATTTCCCTTATTTTTTATTCAAACATTAAGCCACTAATTTTGCACACGAACATTCAAATAATTCTTTCTTTAAAAAAATTATGAATTACCTCGCTTAGCTTGTGATTTTGCGATTTGCCTACTCAAAATCGAAGCAGTCGGCGGTAAACTGAGCTTGTAAAACTCGCACATCGTTCCCTGCTCGGCCGTCTTTCCCTCCTTCAAATTCAACAATCAAACAACTATTTTTAATTGCAAAAAAGTCTCACAAGTTCATCATCGTCAGTTGTAAATTCGTAGACCATTTTGTTTTGAAAAAATCTGCAAAAAAAAAATCAAGTAATGATCTGCAATAAACGCGGAGAAAACCACTAAACGAAGCGTTGAAATGTAATTAAAAGAAACAATGGAAAACGAGCGAGCTTGTTCTTCTCTTATTTCAAAAAGATGAGTTTTTTCTGTCTCTCTAATCATGCAATGCAAATGCATACAACAGGGTTTCTGGCGCGGCCGATGCTATTGATCGTGTCCGGCAAGAGACCACACGAAATGAGGAGTGCATAGACAAGCGGTTTGCGCAGCAGCGCGCAAATTCTCTCAAAATCGATTCAAACAATGCGCTTTTTCCATATGTGGCAAAAATAAGAATAACAATATTATCGATTATAAAATAATAGCGTCGGTGACTCATCACTTAACCAAACATTTAATCATCTTATTCAGTTTATAGGACAATATTGAAAATTGGTTAAATTCAATAATTTCCACACATTTCGAAAAGAATAAACATGTCGCGTTTTATTATGGATCTATTCAGTGAATGTAAATTAAACAAAAACGACAAATTTTCATTATGCAGCGATGTCGTTTTTGTCGCAATAAGCGCTTAATTTTACTGAGGGGTACTGTAGATCGCGGGTCGATATTTCAAAAAAATTGGCACATGCTCCTTGAATATCGATTTTTTTAAAATATTTTTTATATTAAAATTTTCGTATTTTCACTCGTTTTTCGCGGATTTTTTTAAATAATTTAAACTTTTTTTTGAGTAACACTTTTAAATAATAATTTCATATCGTTTTCGTTTTTTTCTATTCCAAAACTGAATCGATTTTATTCGAATATTGTTTTAATTTAAAGAAATTGAATATTTCAGATCGTTCCATGGCTAATTTGGATAGGTTACGAAATAAGAAAAAGGCTATAGTAAGAAATACAATTTAAACAAAAAACAAATAAATGAATTTATAGATTGCACTGCTTATGAAAAAACGAATTATTTTGGTTTGGATATTGAAACAAAATGCATTGAATGCATCTGAAACAATTGAAGTGATCAAGAAACAGAGCTTCGATCTTTTTTGTGAAAAAGTCATATGCGGTGATAAAAGTATTGAGTTGCTTGAATCGCGGGGACCCTCGGATAGTCCGAAGACTGCTAAACGAAGAAAATCAGGTTTCTAGCAATAAAAAATGGAGTTTTATGGGTATGTTTTAGACAGCGATGAGCTGATGAGTATGTTGCGCGAGACGAACAGCGAAATCAAGCAGCTGCTTAGATCGAATGATGAGGAAGCCAAGGAAACCCCCAAATGTAAATTTGACCGATTGTGCAGGGTCATGGCCAGCCACGTTGCGGATTGGCCTGAATTGGATCAAATTCAAGCCGAAGCGAAAGCGATCGCTTTCATCATGGATCTCCAACCGACGGGCAAAAGAAATGAGCAGACGACTTCTCTCAGTTTGTTGGACGAAAATTATTTTTAAGTATTTTTTTTATTATATTAACAATTAAATTTAAAAAGATAAACATTAAACATGATAAAGAAGATAATTTTTTAATGCCGTTCTTTGATCTTCGGCATCGCTGTATGGGTCTTGAAGTAAGGGAAAGTTGTGGTCAGGTGGAAGATCGGGAGGAGCACCTAGTGATATGTTATGTACAACTGAAAGTGCTACAATGAGGGCGCGCGAAGAAGACGGGTCCATATTAAGGGCTTTTTTGAAAATCTGGAATTTCGACTGCATCACACCAAAAAAATTTTCAATTTTCACCCTAGTTGCCGACATAATCTCGTTAAAACGCATGTTTTCTGGAGTCAAGGAAAGCTGCCTATAGGGTTGCATAAGAAACTTAGATAGTCCAAATCCGTTATCAGCAATTATAAATGGAGGCATTATAATGGATGAATTCGGAAGCGGGCGATATCCACCTATTGTGGCTACATTTTCGAGGAGTGCTCCCAAAGGCCCATCTCTGAACATTTGGGAGTCCGAATTTACTCCAAGCTCAGAGATTTGCAAATATATAACACGCAAGTTTGCATCACAACAAAAAAGAGAATTAAATGAATAAAACGACTTATAATTATAATTTAACGATCCTGTATGCGCAGGATGCTCGATCTTCCAATGCTTTCCATCCAATATGGCAAAACATGGAATTCTTCGACGAGGAGTTCGATCAGAAGAGTTCATAAATCCTTCTTCCAGACGAATTAATTCTCTTCGATTTTGTGGCAATCGGATTTGTTCTCCGGCAACTTGGACGATATCCTCGATTGTATCTCTAACTAGTCGAGAAATCGTTGATTGCGAAACTCCAATTTCCTTCGCAAGAAGATTTTGGCTAATACCTATAAATTTTATAATTTTAATGCTTGTAAAAAACTAACAAACAACTAAAAAATAACCTTCTCTTGTGTATTTTAAGAAAACTGCCAATCGAATTGTCGCATTGATTCGACCTTCGTGATTTCGGCATATCTTCAGAAGTTCCATGAACGTGCTGTTAGAAACGCCGGTCACGAACTTAATTTATTCTACATTACTTATGCAGAAATTCACTTGTTTTACTTGTTTCCTTACCTCAATACCACCACAATCTACTAATCGGTTGACTTTTTCACAAAAAAGATCGAAGCTCTGTTTCTTGATCACTTCAATTGTTTCAGATGCATTCAATGCATTTTGTTTCAATATCCAAACCAAAATAATTCGTTTTTTCATAAGCAGTGCAATCTATAAATTCATTTATTTGTTTTTTGTTTAAATTGTATTTCTTACTATAGCCTTTTTCTTATTTCGTAACCTATCCAAATTAGCCATGGAACGATCTGAAATATTCAATTTCTTTAAATTAAAACAATATTCGAATAAAATCGATTCAGTTTTGGAATAGAAAAAAACGAAAACGATATGAAATTATTATTTAAAAGTGTTACTCAAAAAAAAAAGTTTAAATTATTTAAAAAAAATCCGCGAAAAACGAGTGAAAATACGAAAATTTTAATATAAAAAATATTTTAAAAAAATCGATATTCAAGGAGCATGTGCCAATTTTTTTGAAATATCGACCCGCGATCTACAGTACCCCTCAGTAAAATTAAGCGCTTATTGCGACAAAAACGACATCGCTGCATAATGAAAATTTGTCGTTTTTGTTTAATTTACATTCACTGAATAGATCCATTAGTTTTGGGTGTAACCACACTAACCACTAAAGATTACATCTAAAATAAACTTGATTTTTTTCTTTCGAAAAATATTTAATCTCTCTCTCTCAATATTTCCTCAAATTCATCTCACCGATTTTGTTTCTTTCAATAAAAAGTCCATTCTTAACACTGAATTCTCAAATTATCTTCGGAATTTGGCAAGAAAATTGTTATTTCGTTGGAAAATTTTGAAACAGGATTTTATTTGAACACGTGGTTATTGAGTCGGATAATAGGTTTGAATTTCATCGGAAACTATTGAGGCGAACGAAAGGCTATCGAATAACTGACCGACAAAGCATAATGAAGTCTTAAGAGTCTTGGGTAGTCAATATCAGTCGGTTGAAAACAGATGAAAGGTACCGAAAAACGATAACAGGTGCGCGAACTCATCGAATAATGCCCGTGTGAATACGATTGCGTTGACAAGAAAACGGGACAACTGATGAGATTTCAGCTGCAACTTACAAACTGGAATAATGCTAAATGAAGAAAGTTTTAACGAAAAAGCTTTCTCCCATCGAAAACGCATTTAAAAGTAATATATTATGAGAATCGTAAATAGTGGTTTGACTTTTTCCCAACGACTCAATAAAAAAAGACATTAAATTGTTGTTGATTCGATTTTTTTTTTACAAATTCTGATAAAACTGCCCTCTATCGGTCCCATTACCATACCGAATTCATTTTTCAAATCGAGACCGCTACACATAAAAAAACAACTGAACTTAATTGACAAAGCCAGAAAATTGTTTTCGACAATGAAAAAAAAAAAACAGTTGCAGTCGTGAAAATCAAATAATTGCAAGAGACAACAAAGTAATTATACATTATAAAGAAGTGCAAGAACACGGGAAAAATTAAAATTTGGACGTCCGCTTAATAGGGATGACCGCAGCAGACAACGAAAACCAGAAATATGAAACATTTAAGTCCGAAACACATTTTTTAGGTGAAAAATTAATTGAATTGTGATGGGAAGCGAAGTTCTTTCAAAAATGATTCCCGATACACAATTGAGAATATTCGTTTTCATACATGATAAGCAGAAATTAGCGACATATATTATAAAATTAAAGTTTGAAGTGTTAGAAATGAGTTTTCATTAAAATTGAATAAACGTGAATCGTTATCTCGATTGTTCATTTTCAATCATTACGCTTGAATTGAGAATAAGCAAGATGCCATCGGAGACACCGATTAAGCGAAAGAGCGAAAATGCTCAGAAAAATGACGATATCCCCAAAAAGGGAGTATGCTTCAGAAGTGAAGTAATGGAAGTGCACCTCGAGGTTATTGAAGGTGCGCCATTTTTCTGTTTTGATTATCTTTTAAATCTTCGGTTTAACAATATTACCATTTTGTCGAACTACACCGAAATAATTGATTAGACACTTGAAACACCTAATGTACGAATTGAAATAAGAGAAAATGATAATGTTGTGCTTATTTATTATTCGCACAATGAGAATGCAAACAGAATTTGCAAAAAAAAACCATTTAAATGAGATATTCTGAGGATTCTTTGTTTGTAATCACAGGGTTTGTTTGGGGTATTCTTAAATATCTGAAATTGTGATAACTTAAAATTCAATTTTTCTTTCAAAAATTTCAAATGATAAAAATTTAAAAATATTGATGGGTAAAATCAATGATGAAAGAGCCATGAAATATAATCGCATTTTTATGCAATCATTTCGTGAATTATTTCGGTCATCCGTCGGTCGAACACAGTGAACAATTGTTCAAAGAATTTAATTTTTGACCATAATTAAAAAATAAAATTCGGGTGGGGGTATCAAAAATTA